AGAATGAACACACTATTGCTCCACATTACAATATGGATGATTCTCACAAGGATAAATATTGACTGAAAGCAACCAGATGCAAATGACTACACACATTCAAAAGAGGCAAAACTAACTTTTAGGGATGAAGTAGACTGGGAGGGCTCATGAAGGGGATTCAGAGGTGTGATGATGTTCTAGTTCTTGACCTGGAGGCTGGTTACATGGGTGTTTGTAAAAATTTATGTAGATATATACTTAATGCTTTGTCCACTTTTCTGCCTGTATACTTCAATACGAAGTATATTTAAAAATAAAAAGAATAAGGAGAGATTGAGGAGAAAAGCGGTTTCTTAAAAGTAAATTAAATTACATCACTCTACTGCTTAAAAGCTGACAGAAACTTCCCACAGTCTTTAGAATCAAGTTCAAGTATTACATAGCACATATAGTGTTTCATTATCAGAAAGCATACCTGCAATTTTCAAACTGTGAACACCACCTCACTTCAGGGTATCTCTCCCCTTGCATATTACACCCCTATCAAGCTAGTTTTCTTTCAAGTCCTTAAGCATATTATATTCTTTCCTCCCTTAGAGCCTTTGCATATGCTAGTTCTCCGACCTTCAAACCATTCTTCACACAATACCTTCTTTCCATCCTTTAGGTTTCTCCTCACAGAGGTCTTCCCAGTCACTTTATGTAAAGCTGCCTCTTTCTCATATTCTATATCTCTGCCTGCTGCACCCTTCTCTACACTTACTACAACGTGAAATAGGTTTACTTAATTTTTTGTCTGGCCCTCCATCAGCATGCATGCTCTACGAAGACAAGGCTCTAGTTGTCCTGTTTTACAGTTAAAGCCCCAAGATTTACCACATCTGGCACCTTAGAGAAGTTGAATAAATACTTTCTGAATGAATGAAAGGCTAGTTATAGGTAGTTTCATATCAGTGTAATGAATCTTTAAAATTTTTCATATGATCATTATTAGTTATCAATCCCAATTCTATTTTACCCATACATTTTACTTGTATGCCTTCATTTTATCCATTTGCTTATTCATTCACTCATGAAAAAAAATTAAGAGTTTAAATGTCAGCCATAGAGATTATAAAGATGAATAAGCCATGTTCTTTACCTTTCAGAGATCACACCATTTATCAAGGAAAATCAATGTGGATAAAACTAAATTATACTTTTACCAAAAAAGTTATTAACTCAAATACAAAGCCTTAAATCTAATTAAAATGTTGAAATAAGGGAAAGAAAAGATGAGACCTTTGAAACAAGTAATAGTGTAGTTACATCTATCAAAAAAGGAAATCAAGCTAATTAGGCATAACTTTTTCTTAGTGAATTCATTTTGGCTCTCGGTGGTCATGTCTTTTTGTAAATGTTTACAATACATCTTTTAAGTGTAATATATCATAATAAATTGTAATATATTATTACCAGGACTTTTTGTCAAATTTAGCTTCTTTTACAATGAGAGCAATTAGGGAAAATCCATTCAATGGTATACTTTGGTTTGTTTCTAGTCCCAATACTTTTTATTTAAATTCTATTTTTTAAAGATTTTTATGTATTTACTTGAGAGAGAGCAAGCAAGAACATAAGCAGAGGGGAGGGAGAAGCAGACTCCCCACTGGGCAGGGAGCCCAATGTGGGACTCAATCCCAGGACCCTGGGATCATGACCTGAGTCAAAGGCAGACGCTTAACCGACTGAGCCACCCAGGAGCCCTACTTAAATACTATTAAAAAAGAGTGAGAGTACTGAATGTTTATTGAAAGGGGGCATAAATGAAAAAAGAATGAGAATCTCTGCTGCAGGCAGGCAGATTTCAGTTAAATATAAGGAAGAATTTTCTAGTAGTTAGAGCTGCCTACAAGTGGGCTTCTTGTCAAGCAGGAAGCTCTCCATCAGTAAAAAAAAAAAAAAAAAATCTTTAAGGAAAGCTAACAGGATATTTTCCCCAGGATAGAGCAGAAACAGTCTTGATTTAGCAGGCAGCATTGATCAGATAGTGTCTTCACTACGGTGAAGAAGTACTTCTAAAAAAATTTCCAGTTCCTGGTGGACCAACATATTTACAAATTACAAAAGTAATTTTGTAATCACACATTTGGATGTTACCACAATGTCAAACTGCTATAAGGGTTTCTAAATGCTTACTTTCGATTTCTGTTCTTAATTCATTGCATACAGGTAACAAACTGGCCCACATGAACAAGCAAACTATACTTTTGAGTAGCACTGAATTAGAGAGTTTATAAGAGATTGCTGAGGTTCTACAGCTTTTCAAATTTACCTAGTCTGTCTTCCTTTTTATATTCATTAAGCATAATATCAACTGCTTATTTCCTAACAACTAACCTCTCTTCAGCAATTTAAAAAAGCATAATCTAAAAGATATTAATCTGAAAGTATTAGAGCAACTGAGATTTTTATCTCACTAAATTGAATAGCAAAATTTACTTTGTACCAAAACATATCTGAATGCTCCTTTAAAACTGGTTACAAAAAATTTATTTTCAGCCATCCCCACACCTGATTTTTTCGTGTCACTTTCTTTGCATAAGTTGATAATGAAATGTGTGACAAATTATAGTTGATCACACATTTGAAGTTCTACCTTTGTTTTACTGGCTGGCAGCAAAACCAGCAGAAATGTGACTTGGGGATGAAGCGGGGGTACATTCATGAATTTCAGAAGCATGGAGTAGAGGATTTAAGTTTTTGCAACTACCTATATAACACTCGGTCAGTGCTGACCTGGCCAAAGCAAATATGATAAGGAATTAGAAAAAAAGGAAACAAAACTGGGGCGCCTGGGTGGCTCAGTCGTTAAGCGTCTGCCTTTGACTTGGGTCATGATCCCAGAGTCCTGGGATCGAGCCCCGCATCACGCTCCCTGCTCCCCCACTCCCCTTGCTTGTGTTCTCTCTCTGGCTGTGTCTCTGTCAAATAAATAAATAAAATATTAAAAAAAAAAAAGAAGAGACAAAATTAAGAGTTCCCCATTCTCATATTTCCCCAAATACTTCTAGCTTTCTCTCTCCGAAGACAATGAGATATTTTTGTTGAAAATCTGTTACCTTCTTCTCATTAAAAAGAAAAAACGACCTTCCTTCTCAAGAGACCATTTCAGGATTTATGAGTTATCATCTCCCAACTCCATCATCCATGAATACTTTCCCTCCAGTGATGGCAATATTCCTTAATTCACCCTACTTTTATTAGAGCAGGAGTTCTTAACTGTGAGCGTACACATGGGTGTTGGGAAATCTATGAACTCTCTGAAACTCCAAATGTTTTTAAAATTGTGGGTGACTGAGCAATTATATGAACAAAATGTCCACAGTTGTCAATACATTCTTAGAGGGTACAATAATCCAAAATGATTAAAAGCATCTTTCTTGAGTTAAAAATGTGATCTGAATAGAAATATAGGGTACAGCTTCTTCATTAATTGAATAGGCATATAAAGATATTATATTACTTAACAAAAGGGACTTTAGAAATAAACCCCTTCATTTTGTAGAAGATAAAATTGAAATTTTGAGAGGTAAAGGGAGTGTTCAAGGTCACACTGCTAGTTAGAAGGCAGAAGCCAGAGAAAAACACCAGCCTCCATCTTCCAGGTCCATTCCCTCACATCCTGCTACCTACACAGGGCCAGACAGGATATCAGTAAGCATACTACAGGCAGTCAACAATCCCACCTCTGATAAATATATGACCTCAGAGTAAATCAAGTAATTCTGTAAATACTATGGCTCATAGGACACACATTTTCTTTTTTTACTAAATGTATCTAAAAATGCATTTTCTCTTAGATACATTTTAGAACTTGTTTCCTTTGCCAGTAGGCACAATCAACAACTTGTCAATCATCTGAAAGACATGAGTGCCTGATCCTACTGCAATCAATCAGAGAAGGGCATACACTTGACCTGGAAGGGACAAAGGATGTTTAGTAGGAGACAGAGGGCTTCAAGGAGGCACTTTAAACACATTTCTTTCTGAGTCAATTACTCTGAAAGCCCACAATGCGAAGTAAATTAGATGAGTGGATCTTTTAGTAACTGTTGAAGCTATTTAGAAATTTTAAGCAAAATCTCTTTTCAAAGTTTATTCTCTTATTTATTCATACTAAAGAAGAGCAAATAAAAAAGCCAAAGATGATGTTTAGTGAAAAGAATTTTTATAGTACATAATTAAGTGAGAAAACTGAAAAAGAATGCCCTACTTTGGTGTCAGGATGTGCAGAAATCCAAAATTTGTTTTTAATTTTTTTCAAAAAAATTGGAAAACTGAAAGTCTGTAAATAAGAATCCAAAAAACCCTTCACTCTCCTCCCCCACTGCACCCTTGACTTCTGAAATACAGTGCAACTTTCTACCATCTGTTATTTTAGAGAAGAAACAGTAATGAACATATGGGCTTTCTCTCTCAAGCAGCTGTAGTGTAGTAAAGTAATAATAATTGTCTTTCTGTAAGATAAATTTACATTAAAAACCTGGCCAGTTAAAAACAAATGGCTCAGCCTCAGAGCAATCCAGAATAAAATTAAGAAATTCAGAATTATCTATGACATAGTACAGAGATTTAGAAGATACCCTCTAAATCTTATGCTTTTATGTTTAAGGTTAAACAAACATAATTCATGATGCCCATATCAATTCACACAGAGTCCACAACTCATGTTTTCTCTTTCCCAGTCAAAATGCTAGGAGCCTCAAACAGGGGCTAGTTACACATATATAAAAATCAGTAACTAAGTTCTTGAAAGCTGATAATATGAATCCACCACCTCTGTGGGTTATTGAACTCCAATCCAAAAGCTTATTTATTTGTAAGAAAAATCACAATACATGTGGCACATAAACTTCTATTTCAACAATATATATATAAGTATCACCTACATATATCACTTATAATGAGTTTAAGTAAACTGAAAGGAATTCAGAGCAGATTCAGATCCACATATTATGAAAAATAGGAATTTTACCTACCTTTATCTGGGTGATTCAAAATCATGATTCTCCTATGAGCTGTTCTAATCTTGGCCTTGCCAGCAGATGGGCTGTAAAAAGAAATTAAAGTGCTTATAATAAATAGTGTCGAATGCAGATTATAAATTGACAGTTTATATGGGTTTCAAGGAATTAAAAACTAATGAGAATTTCACCATCTTGTGGATAAATATGAAATTACAGCTTGTCACTTAAGTCTACTAACCATCAAAATAAACTGTTGATTCAATGTTGCATGTATTTTTCTTCCTTTGTAATGCCAGTCTCTATTTTCAATCAATTTAAAAAATAAAACACAATAGGGGCACCTGGGTGGCACAGTCAGTTAAGCAACCCACTCTTGGTTTCACCTCAGGTTGTGATCTCAGGGTGGTGAGATTGAGCCCCAAGTTGGTCCCCAGGCTCATCGTGGAATCTGCTTGAGATTCTCTCTCCCTCTCCCTCTGGCCCTCCCGTTCATGCTCTCTCTCTAAAATAAATACATCTTTAAAAAATAAATAAATAAAACACAACATACAGGGTAGGAGAGTCATAGTCTATAGACTATACTGAGATTGAAAATATATGCCTCAAGTAATTTGGGGAGAAGGCAGTTTACATAATGTAACAGACAGGTATCTGGACTCCGGAGCTACCAGACTGCCAGATTTCATTTCCATTGCTAGTTAGGATGGGGTAAACTTGGTCAAAACTTTTAACCTCTCTGTACTTCAATTTCCTCATTGTAAAACAGGGCTAAGAACAACATATTCCTCATAGAGCGACTGTAGGGGTTAAATTAGTTAAAGCCAACAAAGTGCTAGAACAGTGCCTGGCATGTAGCAAGTGCTCCAAAACAGTTAGCTTTTATTATTATTATTATTATTATTAATTATTATTATGTTTCAACAGAGCATCTCAAAACTCTTCATAGCTCATAATTTATTTAACTTGTGAGAAACCTATGGGAAAAGCTGTAACAAAAATTGAGAAAGTTAAATAAACTTAAAATTATTTCAGTAAAAACTAATTTATCCAGTATTGGAAAAGTTTCTGACTAGCACATTTTCTAAGCAAGAAAACAAAATTAACAGTTAACAACAACAAAATTCTGGTATTGCTAATTAATAGCTATACTATCTTATCTAAGTTATTCAACTTTTCTGGGTCTCAAATCGGGATAATGGCAGCTGACTTAAAGTACAGAGTGGTTGTTGTAAAGCTCAAAGCAATTTAATTTGTATGGATGAACCACACTGTACTGGATAAAAGCAGGTACTTTTAGAGATATTCAAACATAGGTTCAACATCCTGATTCTACCATTCATTAGCTGAAAAACTCTGTCTTGCTCACTTAAACTCTCTGAGTGAAAATTCTAAGTAAAATGGACATACTAAACTACCTCCCACGGGGCGCCTGGGTGGCTCAGTCATTAAGTGTCTGCCTTTGGCTCAGGTCATGATCCCAGGGTCCTGGGATCGAGCCCCACATTGGGCTCCCTGCTCTACTGAAAGCCTGCTTCTCCCTCTCCCACTCCCCCTGCTTGTGTTCCCTCTCTCGCTGTCTCTCTCTCTCTGTCAAATAAATAAATAAAATTAAAAAAATAAATAAATAAAATAAACTACCTCCCAGGATTATTTTAAGAATAAATTAGATAATGCAAGTAAAAAGATCAGCATAACCTAGCACAGAGTGAGTGTTCAAAGTGTTCAGAAATAACTAGCCTTTAGTTATATAAGTAACCTAATTTAATGTTTCTTGAATGACTCAAAAGTATTAATCTGAGTATAAATTAAGTGCAAAGAAATTCTTAATATCCACAGAGATTTGTTCACCCTTGTCTTAAAAGAGTCCTAGAATGCTTTCCATTTAAGTTCTTCTGTCTGTTTTTAGCACTGCCTCCCTTGATATCAGCTGTGAACCCTTGATTCTGCCATTGTTCCAGTCTAGCTATTCCTTGACAGTTACTTATACTTCTAATCTTTTGAGGTTAAATAACAGATCACCAAGCATGTTAAAACACACTATCAATTGCTAAATATAAAATATTCTCCTACGAATAAAAAAATGTCTTGAGTCAAAGATAAAATCAAAAGAGAAAAAAACATCTTGAGACAAATGCAAATGAAAATGGAAATATAACAAATTTATGGGATGCAGCAAAAGCAGTTCTAAGATGGAAGTTTATAGTCAGTTTATAGTAATAAACGCCTATATTAAGAAAAAAGAAAGAGCTCAAATAAACAACTTTATTTATGCCTCAGGGAAGTAGAAAAAAGAAGGATAAACTAAAGCCAAAGTTAGTTGAAGGAAGGAAATAACAAAGATCCAGAGTAAAAATAAATGAAACAGAGATTAAAAAGACAATAAAAGGTTGTCTTTTATTGTCTTAATGAAACTAAGAGCTGTGTTTTTGAAAAGATAAACCATTAGCTAGACTCACAAGAAAAAAGCAGAGAGAACTCAAATAAAATCAGAAATGAAAGAGAAGACATTACAACTGAAGAAATACAAAGGATCATAAGAGACTATTATCAACTATTATACACCAACAAAATGGACAATGTAGAAGAGAGAAATCCTACAAACATATAAACTACCAAGACTGAATGAGGAAGAAATAGAAAATCTGAACAGACCAATTATTAACTATGGATTGAATCACTAATCAAAAACCTCCCAACAAAGAAAACCCCAGGACGAGACACCTTCACTGAAATCTACCAAACATCTAAAGAATACCAATTCTCCTCAAACTTTTCCAAAAAATAGAAGAGGAAAAGCTTTCCAAACTCATTTTATGAGGGAAGCATTATCCTGATACCACAAGCAGACAAGGACACTAGAAGAAAAGAAAATTACAGGCCAATATGCCAGATGAACATTGATGCCAGTCTTCAGCAAAATATTAGCAAACCAAATTCAACAAAACATTAAAAGGATCATACATCATGAACAAATAGGACTTATTCCAGGGATGAAAGGATGGTGCAATATCCACAAATCAATCAATGTGAAACACCATAAATGTGAAACAAAATAAAGGATAAAAATCATATGACATTTCCAAAGATGCAGAAAAACATTTGACAAAATTCAACACCCATTCATGACAAAAACTCTCAACAAAGTTAGTATAGAGGGAACATACCTCAACATGATAAAGGCCATATGACAAATGCATAGCAACTATCATACTCAATGGTGAAAAGCTCAGAGTTTTTTCTCTTAGATCAGATACAACACAAGGCTGTCTGCTCTCACCACTTTTATCCAACATAGTACTGGAAGTCATGGCCAGAGCAATTAGACAAGAAGAAGAAATGAAGGGCATCCAAATCGGAAACAAAGAAGTAAAACTGCAGATGACATGATATTACACAAAGAAAACCCTGAAACTGTTAGAACTAACCAACCAATTTGGTAAAGTTCTGGGTTACAAAATCAATATACAAAAATCTGTTGCCCCTCTATATACACTAATAACAAACTATCAGAAAGAGAAATTGCATCAAAAAGAATAAAATACCTAGAAATAAGATTAACCAAGGAGGTTAAAGACCTATACACTGAAAACTCTAAGACATTGGTGAAAGAAATTAAAAACACCAATAAATAGAAGGATATCCCACACTCATGGATTGGAAGAATTCATTTTGTTAAAATGTCCATACTATTCAAAGCAATCTACAGATACAATGAAATCCCTATCAAAATTCCTAAGGCATTTTTCACAAAAGTGGAACAATCCTAAAATTTGTATGGAACCACAATGACTCCAAATAGCCAAAGCAGTCTTGGGAAAGAACAAAGCTGGAGGCATCACAATTCCTAAATTCAAACTATATTACAAAACTATAATAATCAAAACAGTACAGTATTAGGTTAAAAACAGACACATACATCAATGGAACAGAATAGAGAACCCAGAAATAAATCCATATATATATGGTCAATTAACTTATGACAAAGGAACCAAAAACAGAAAACAAACGATAGTTTCCTCAATAAATGGTATTGGGAAATCTGGATAGCCACATGCAAAGGAATGAAACCGGACCCTTATCTTACACCACACATGAAAATCAACTCAAAATGGATTAAAGCCTTGAACTAAAGACCTGAAACCATAAAACTCCTAGAAGGAAATACAAGGGGTAAGCTCCTTGACATCAGTCTTTGCAGTAATTTTTTAAATTTGAAATCAAAAGCAAAGGGAACAAAACAAAATTAAACAAGTGGGACTACATCAAACTTTAAAAAGTTTCTACACAGTAAGGAAAACCATCAACAAGATGAAAAACGTCACCTATGGAATAGGGAGAAAATATTTACAAATCATATATCTAATAAGAGGTCTTTTCCAAAATAAAGAACTCATACAATTCGGGCACCTGGGTGGCTCAGTCGTTAAGCATCTGCCTTCAGCTCAGGTCATGATCCCAGGGTCCTGGGATCGAGTCCCGCGTCGGGCTCTCTGCTCTGCGGGAAGCCTGTTTCTCCCTCTCCCACTCCCCCTGCTTGTGTTCCTGCTCTCGCTATGTCTCTCTCTGTCAAAAAAAAAAAAAGGTTTTAAAAAAAAAAAAAAAAAAGAACTCATACAATTTAATAATATAGCATAGCTCATAGATAGGTAGATCTGATTTCAAAATGAGTGGAGGATCTGACTAGACCTTTTTCCAAAAACATAAAATGGCAAACAGGTATATAGGGTGATCAGCATCACTAATCATCAGGGAAATGCAAATCAAAACCACAATGAGACATCACCTCACAGCTTGTAGAATGACTGTCATCAAAAAGACAAGAAATAAACAAGTGTTAGAAAGATGCAAAGGGAACAGTTCGTGGAAATATAAACTGGTAGAGCTACTATGGAATACCATGTAGGTTCTGAAAAAATTAAAAAATAGAACTACCATATGATCTAGCAATTCCACTTCTGGATATATATCTGAAGGAAATAAAATCACTGTCTCAAAGAGATATCTGTACCCTCATGTTCACTGCAGCATTATTTACAATAGCCAAGACATGGAAACAACCTGTGTCCATCAACAGATGAACGGATCAAAAGATGTGATACACACACACACACACACACACACACACACACACACACACACACAAATAGCCAAGACATGGAAACAACCTGTGTCCATCAACAGATGAAAGGATCAAAAGATGTGATACATACACACACACACACACACACACACACACACACACACACACCCCAGAATACGTTTAGGTCATAAAAAAGAAGAAAATCTTGCTATTTGTTGACAACATGAATGGGCCTTAGCATTATGCTAAGTGAAATAAGTCAGAGAGAGAGAGAGAAAGACAAATACTGTATGATCACATTTACATGTGGAATCTGAAAAAGCCAAACTCACAGAAACAGAGAACAGATTGGTGGTTGCCAGAGGCAAGAGTAGGAGGTTGGGGGAAATAGGTGAAGGTAGTCAAAGGGTACAACTTACAGTTATAAGATAAGTAAGTCCTGGGGGTGAAATGTACAGCATGGTAACTACAGTTAACAATGCTGTGTTTTATATTTGGAAGTTGTTAAAAGAGTAGATCTTAAAAGTTCTCATCACAAGAAAAAATAAATCTGTAACTAAGTGAGGTGAAGGATGTTAATTAAAATTTCTGTGGTAGTCATTTTGCAATCTATACATATAGCAAATCAGTATGTTTTACATTCTACATATACAATGTTTTTTGTCAATTATATGTCAATAAAACTAAAGGAGAATTTTTAAAATAAAAAAATTAAAAATAAAAAAGTCTTTTAGTGTAAGGACTATTAGGGTATTCCTTTTCGCTGTTTTGTGAAAGTCCTCTGGGGGACCATTTCAAACTTACTTTTTGTTTTGTAGATACTTCCCAGATAGCCAATCAAGACACTGTCTGATTCTAAAGACTACTAAGTTTTGAAAAAGAAGTCATTAAACACTGCACCAGGGCTATGAACACTTTAACTGCCTATTAAGAAATGAAGAACACATTATTTTTTTTTTAAATTCCAGTATGTTTAGTTTCCTGTAGTAAGTCTACATTTCTCATTCTCTTTTGTGGTGCTCTGTAGCACTGCTTTCCTTTATTAGTTATGTTTCCTAGCTCTTCTGTAGATATTTGACATGTCTCCTTAGGTAGATACTAAAGAGCAGAAGCTATGATTTGTATCTTAAAATAGTATCTAGTATTAAATATGCAATAGGTGCTTAATGCATTTTATACAGCCCTCCAAAAGAAAATGGCTATAAAAAGGTAAACTCCTTCAAAGAATAATGGCTCTCTATTAGTAAATACTAACACTATAAGGGCTGTATTACAGAAAATTTTAAAGTAGAAAAAGAGGAGCTTTAAGAAACATTTCAGAAAGCAAATCAAATGTGGACCACTACATAATGAAGATATAAGTTCAGTAAAATCCAAATTTCCATTCTATGTGTTTTTGGGGGGAGTTTATATGGTAGGTTGCATCTTATTCTGGATATTAAACTTTAATTTAGCACACAGGACAAAATCTGAATATTATCCTTGATAATTACACCTGATAGATTGTCCTTGATAATCACTTATTATTGCCTATAAAAAAACAGTACACAAGGTTTTGTACATAAAAGTCCATAAAGCATTATGTACAATGAAATCTGCCAACCACCAAACTAGATAGATTGGAGGAAGTAAGAAATGCAAGGAGAGTTTCATGTATAAGTATGGCCATTCAAAACATTCTGCCTTTAAGATAATAAGTATCAGGGCACCTGGGTGGCTCAGTTGGTTAAGCGACTGCCTTCGGCTCAGGTTATGACCCTGGAGTGCCGGGATGGGAGTCCCGCATTAGGTTCCCTGCTCAGCAGGGAGTCTGCTTCTCCCTCTGACTCTCCCCCTTCTCATGCTCTCTCTCTCTCTCTCTCCCATTCTCTCTCTCTCTCAAATAAATAAACAAAATCTTAAAAAAAAAGGTAATAATTATCAGATTCTTAGTGGTGAACTTTGGGGATGAGGGAAGGCCTACAGAGTTTATTCCCTTTTACTTGTTGCTATATTAAGTCTCTAGGAACTTAATACATTTTAATAAATTTATTTGTTGTTCTAAAGATTAAACAAGATGGGAGAATTGTAGTTCTTAAACATAGTATAAAAATTAAATAAAGAGCAATGGATCTCCAGGACAAACAATTTCACCATGAAATTTAAAGTATAACTTTAAATATTAAATTTCCTAGATCAAAGCATACACACTGTGTTCCCTGGGATGTGTACCCCATTTGACTGGGACTGGGAAGTGGGGTGCATGGAATTGAGTGGTGTTCTCTAATCCTGTGGCAAATGGAGCAGTTTTGGTTTCATCGTTTTTATTATTGGTCTTTTGAATAACATTTAGCTTAACACAGTTCCACAGAAGTTTTCAGAAAGTATGAAAATCACACATGTGCATCATTTCAGAAAGTAAAATAATAGTTTTTCTGGGCAGCTCGGTAAAATATATTAGGCTTCATGAAATATGTAAGAATGTACAGAATCATCTAGTAGCACACAGAATATTTTTTAATAGATCAATACAGTCAGCTCCATTTTGCCTTTACCTACTTGTTATATAGTCTATATAGTTTAGATTCATTGATCATAGAGAATGGAGCCACGGCAATATATTCACCTCTTAAAGAATCTTTTCAAAATCTACACTACCTGATTGAAAGAAAGGGCTAGAGGAAAGCAAATAAGGCTTACCTTTCTATTTAATGTGTTAAGGGCAAATATCTAGTTTCTGCATTTGTGATACAGATAGGAAGAAAGAGGAGCCAACATTTATTTAGCACCTGTTATTTGGTAGGTACTTTTATAAAAAGGTATCCTCCTATCATTTTATATTATTTCAACAAGGCTAAATAGTATTAATTCTATTCAAAACTGAAGAAACTGAAGAGCAGAAGAGCTAAAAATAAGTTAACCGGGGGGCACCTGGGTGGCTTAGTTGGTTAAGCATCTGCCTTCAGCTCAGGTCATGATCCCAGGATCCTGGGATCGAGTCCCACATCGGGCTCCCTGCTCAGCAGGAGCCTGCTTCTCCTTCTCCCTCTGCCTGCCACTCCCTCTGCTTGTGCTCTCTCTGTCAAATAAATAAAATCTTTAAAAAAATAATAATAATTACTTGACCGGGCTTGTACAATGCGGTGCTTTAGTGATAGAACTGGGACAAGGATCAGTTTTGCTCAGCTGGTATTTGTTGAGTAGTTACTAAGTGCCATGTTTATATTAAGAATTATCTATGTATTAGTCTTCGCAACAATCCTAGGAGGCAATAGAAACTGACATTATGTTTATTTTACAAATGATGACACTGAGGTCACACAGCTAGTAAATGGTAAAACCGGTATTCATACTCAGACTCAGCTGTTATTAGAGAATATACTCTTAACCAGCAAATTATCCTTGTGAAATTTTCTACAGTTTCTAGTTCAACAGGATAAACATTTATAACCATAAATCTTAAGTTCTAATTATCTGTCTCAATAACAGGAGTGCCTTGGATGATGTTAAATGATATTCTCAAGAACCTTTGTATATTCATATTTTAAGACTATGAATGGGATGGTGTGGGGACCCAATAAAACTTCAAGAAAAATAACAATGCCATCCTGAATAAGATTAAAGCAAATAATAATCAGCAATATAGCCAACTTCCTAATTTGGTTCCTCTACCTAAAACCTATTCTCAGTGAGATATTTCATCTTTTATTTAATAAAGCACCAAGCTGAACTGAGCTGTTTCCCTTGCTTCTTCACCCCTTTGTTTTTCTTGCTAAGGCAAAAGAAGTAATTAGATGTTTTGGCCTTAAAAATCTGCTAATCTACAAGAGATTTAAAAGACTATATCAACATAGGGCTTTATGACCTATATTGCTTGTGTTGACTGATTCATCAGAAGATCTGTTGTAGATGACATACTATAACCAACCCCCACAAAAATTTGAGTGAGTTTTAAAGGAACATAAGGTAAACAAATGAATATATCGACTAGCAAATCTATAGCAGGGCACATCACTTAACACTAAAGTTAGGAAAATATCACAGAGCAATCACACAACAACATTAACTTTCTCCTAAGCTGTCCAAAGTCACACAATAGATACTAAGGTGAAACAATTATAATAAAATATGCTAGATCAAATTATGGAAATAGAAAATAATTGTGAAACAGATCCCATATTATAACAGAAAAATGATTAGACAGCAAATTATAAAACTAAATCCAGAAACAATTCAGCGTCACAATAAGGGATATTTTGATAATTGCTGTGAAACTAGTATTAAGAGTTCCTTGTTAAGAATAAAGACACATCACATCATGCCTGATATTTTTAGGGGGCGTAGGATATTCTCTTAGATGTGAAGTTTTAAAAGGTAAAAATTTTGTATTTTCTTCCTCTGCCTTCTATTCATAACTTAAAATATAAGGATAACTTTACTGTAACATTTTCTCCTTTTTCCAAAACGAGCTTGGCCACAAACAAAATAATACTTATTCAGCACACCTACCTTATACCCAAAATAAGACTAGCTTCTCGCCTACTCATTTTCTGTTCAAATCCTCCTTTATAGTAGGATGAAAAGCTCTGTACAGGAAAGAAAGAGCATGATATAATTAGTTCCATGTATGAGGTGGCATGACCTCAATCCCATCACAGCTGCAGTAAGAGCAATGCATTTTACTAGAAGTCAACTCGAAACTGTGAGGGGGGGAGCACTAAATAATGATCCTTTACAAGAAACCATGACCAAGATGAACTTAAAATTTCACCTTCAAATACATTAATTTTTCTATACTAAGATATAAAAGAATAAAAGAAATCAGTAGAAGCAAAAGGCTTGAACTTTTCCTAAACTCTGCAGTAATTTTCTCATTGGATAACCTTGATAAGTCATTAATGTTGATATGACACACATCTTTTTTACCTCCTGGACTGGCTGAGAGAGAAGAAAGAGGAGGAACTGACGAAGTGGGGAGGACATCAGGATAGAAGACAGGCAGGCCAAGAGAGACCAGAAAACAACTGCAAGGTCCCTGAAACATGGCTGGAAAGGCAGGAGCAAGGAAGAGAGCAGTGTTAGAGAGGCTATGGGGCCAGACTGGCCGGGGGGTGGGGAGAGGCCATAAGCGAAAGAAATAATTTAGGATTCAATTCTCAGAGCACTGGAGTAATGTCATTGACTTTCTTTTGAAAGGATTACTCTAAATGCTATGTGGAGACTAGAAAGAATGGTACAAGAAGGAAGCAGGAGACCCGTTAAGAGGACATAACAATAATCTAGGCAAGAGATGATGGTGGTATGGGCCAACGTGGTAATAGCAGAGCTAGTTTAAAAGTGATCAGATTCTAGATGTATTCTGCAAGCAACACTAACATTTTCTTGGTAGATTAAATAGAGGATATGAGAAAGAGAGGGATTAAAGATGATATAGTAAACACTACCATACACTGTGCAGCTTCCCCTTCACAAGTGAAGGACTTACACTTTGGGCGCTGGGGCTGTTGCTCGCAGATGGCAGTGAGCCGTCAGACTCTTCAGGAATTGCCTTGGCTGAAGAAAGTCAAGTTCAGGTCCCCTTCCCAGAGAAGTCTCTAATGACTGGTTGATATGGGGGTATAAACATTATAGTTCTCTAGAGCTCAGTCCTTAGACTTCATATCTATAATTCACTTATCAGGTGACATCATTTAGTCTCATGGCTCCTTGCCCCAACCTGGGACAACCACCATGAGCCAACTGGGCTTCAGAGCTTGGCATGGGGTTGGTTGAGGCCTTTGTTACGACTGTACTGCAGCCTAAATTGCCCCTTTGTCCTTCTTCCTTCTCTTCCCTCTGGAACTGTTGATCATAAGAGCACTCCCTAATGAACTACTGTTGTAGGACTTCTCTTCCTTTAGTGCCCACAGTTCATGGTCACGCCGCTTTGAAGAATGAAGAGGGAGACCAGACGAAGAGTGGTAGGCAGCAAGGCGAAGTTTATTGAGCGATAGTACAGAGCTCCCAGAGAGGGAGGGGGCCCAAGAGGGTTGCCGTTTTGACATTTAAATCTAGGGGTTCTTATGAGCTCTTTTGTGGAACTATCTTAAGGATCCTGAGTGTGGGCCGCCTGTGGATTGGCTGCTAAGGCATGCCAATCAGGGCTTTGATCACACATCCGCCTCCCTACTGGGTTATTATTCACATGCTGGTGGTCTTTTGGGTTAAATGGAGATATCCATATCTAAATGGAGAAGTCTGACTTCGAGGTAACATTTGGGAGTCATGAGTATATTTACAGTATGTAAAGCCATGCGACTGAATGAGATCACCTAAGGAGGAGTGAGAGAAAAGAAGTCCAAAGACTGAGCACTAGAGATTGCAAGTCTGAGGGGCAGAGAAATGGAGATGAATCAGTAAGCAGACAGGAGGCCCAGCAGTGAGGCAGAAGGAAAAGCAGATAGCAAAAGTAAGGAAGGGAAGAAAAACAGTTTCAAACACTTCTGATAGGTTAAGTCAGATGTGAGCTGAGACCTGACTGCTGGATTTATCAAAGAGGTCAAAATCTTCGACAAGAGCTGCAGGGAGGGGCACCTGGGTGGCTCAGTCATTAAGCGGCTGGCTGCCTTCAGCTCAGGTCATGATCCGAGAGTCCTGGGATCAAGCCCCCGCATCGGGCTCCCAGCGCGGTGGGAAGCCTGCTTCTCCCTCTCCCATTCCCCCTGCTTGTGTTCCCTCTCACGCTGTGTCTCTGCCAAATAAATAAATAAAATCTTTAACAAAAAAAGCTCTTTTTTAGAGCTGCAGGGAGCGGGAGCGAGAGTCTGATTAGAGTGGGTTTGAGAGAACAGGAGGGAAGGAATGGGAGACAGCAAGTACAGACAATGCTTTAGGAGTTCTTAACAGAGAAACAGGATGTATGAACTCAACTTTTAGAAGGAAAAAATACATCAATGATTGTACTGCTTGTAAGTTTTTAAAACATGAACCCCTATTTTTGTAAGGAAAAATAAGTAAGTGTATGTTTACATAAAACAACATCAGAAAGTATATACACTAAAATGTTATTTTTGGTTGGTGACATCATGAATAATTTTTTTTCTTTATGTTTATTTTTACTTTCTAAATTTTCAATGATGAACACAGGCTACCTGTACAATTTTTAAAAAAGAGAACTAAATAAAAGACCAAGGAAATTATTAGAACTTAAAAAATGAACCATATCTGGTTATTTATATAAGCTGTTGTCTTTGAACAGCTTGTTATAAATTTCTACGTGGCAATAATTCCCTGGCAATTAATTCATTTAACAAGCACTTCAGCACCTAGTACATGCCAGGAACATTTCAAATGAGACAGGTCAAGTTTTGTCCTTCATCACACAGATGCTAATCTATCAATGTACCAGTATTGTGAGGAATATGATAGACGATTTCAAGTTTCAAGTAATTAACAATCTGGAAAGAAAACTAAAAATAATACCCTTCTCCAAGGTCTGAGTGGAGGAAGAGAATCAAATTATTTAAGTACACATAGTAACCTGGACAAATTATACACATGCACACATGTACATGTACACACACACACACACACACACACGGAGGGGAATATATAAAGGACTAGGGGATTTAACAGAGGAATAACAGCTGGTTTTAAGTTTTCTCTCAGCAGACTAAAATTTTTACTAGATGCATACCTTTCTCCCTGACATTTCTTTAAGTATTTATTTACCTTAGGGAGCTCCAAAATTTCAACATAAGAAACATGATAAATTGATGTTTCATGAAGTGTCACTCCCACTAGTCACAAAGCTCATTAACCCTAAAGGCAGATATTGTATTGGAGCAATTGTTTACTTTTAGTTTTGCCCAGGTGTAAAAGGAGACCCAGAACTTAAAAGCTAGCATTTGGATGAGGCTCACATCCTGAAACACTGACCTGCTTATGAGTGAGTGAATCTGTGCATATCTATAAGGAACAACTATAGAACAACTACATCAAATAGAGTAGATGGTTAAACTTTTTTTTTTTTTGGTTATACTTTTCTAATGGAATTTCTAAGAACAGAAAGAGTATGATTCCACTACTTTTATGCTGCTATTTGAAATATACCCTGAACCTTACAAATTATTATTTTGTATTATTCTATTCATAAAGTATATATATAAACAACATACCTCAAAATCATTTTCCATCTAAAATTAGCATTAAGGGCTCCTGGGTGGCTCAGTCGGTTAAGCGTCTGCCTTCAGCTCAGGTCATGATCTCAGGGTCCTGGGATCAAGTCCCACATCAGACTCCCTGCTCCTCTGCCTCTACCCCTCCCCTGGCTCATGCTCTCTTGCTCTATCACTTGCTCTCTCTCTCTCTCTCCCTCTCAAATAAATAAATAAATAAAATCTTTAAAAAATAAATGAATAAAATAAAATAAAATTAGCTTTAAATGCTATAGTGCCATATATTACCAAAGGAAATATGAAATGAACCAAGTTAAAATCTTCATTAGAAAATTTACTCAACCAAGAGCTGGAAATACAAAAGCCCTCCAGACAACCAAAGAAGAACTATATCATTCCATAATCTTAAGAAATACATTTACCATAAACTATAAATTCCTATTATTTACAATAATCTATTTCATTTAGAGAGCCACAGAGGGATGATTTTATTTTGTGCTTTTCCATGAATTTCACTTAACCATAAGACAAAGGAAGTCCAATTTTTATTTTTTTATTTTTTAAAGATTTTATTTATTTGACAGAGAGACATACAGCAAGAGGGAACACAAGCAGGGGGAGTGGGAGAGGAAGAAGCAGGCTTCCTGCTGAGCAGGGAGCCTGACGCAGGGCTCAATCCCAGGACGCTGGGATCATGACCTGAGCCAAAGGCAGATGCTTAACGACTGAGCCACCCATGCGCCCCAGAAGTCCAATTTTTAAAAATTATATTCAAATAAAAGGACATTTTCATAAACAGAAAAATAAAACCTTAAAAGAAGATGAACGACTTGGGTTTTTTCCCCCCAGGAAAAAAATTAGGGGCAGTTAAACATTAGCTGAGTTAATAACATGTTAATATACTAAAAATCAAGCAAAAAAGTACTGGTTCAAAACAGAAGATTGCATAAAAAAAGGTCTTTTGCTTTCTAAAGTGCCTTTGAAATGAGAAGAGAGATGTTTTTAAAAGGAAAAGTCCATTATAGGCCTAGAAAACAAGAGATGATACAAATAACTTTAAAGAAATTCTGAAAGCTTGAAAACAGATAAGACTGCACATACAGAAAAATAACTGCAGCCTCAAACACCAGAGGAAAGAAGAAAACCCTTCTCAGGAAATTAAGAAGAAAACCCTACCTTTCGAGTCAACAAATACAGTAAAAACATCAGGATAATTAATTAAACCAGAACAGCAGAGATGACCATTTCTAACTCCAGTAATACAGAGCATAAGGTGCCTACTGCCTGTCATTTTGCCCTCAGGCTAAGAAAGACAACTGCATGCCTGGGATGTATCTCATTGTTGGGGGTAGGTCCCAAGAGAAGCCAAGGAGAGTACCAGCAGATCACATTTCAGAACCCAGAAGGTCAGGGAGGGACACAGTTATGCCAAGGAATAAAATATACATGGTACTCAATCTCTCCTCAAGCTCTCTCTGGAGGTCCCAAGCCTGCCTCTGGACTCCTTGCTTTGGAAGACATGCTGTTGACATAACCCATCTATGTATTCACAGCCCATTATCAACCCTCTCATTCAATTAAATTATTGAAGTGAGTCTACCAAACTGCTGAGGAAGTCCACTTATATTAATCAACTTAGTTCCCACAAACATAAACCAATAACCAAGGATTATCAGACATTTGAACAAATCCAGTATCATGGGGGAAAAGCAGAACAAAGATGAACAAATAACAACTGGCTTTTGGAAGAAGGAGATAAATCAGGAAACAGAAGAGGATTTGACAAAATTTGAATTAGTATCTTATAACCATAAAGGGTAAGTTGCTATGAAAAAGAAGAAAATTTTCAGATATTAAAATATTACTGATGTAAAAAATTTAGCAGATGGACTAAATAACAGAATGGCCACTGCTAAAAACCAACCTGGTGATCTGGAAAATAAGCTGTGGAAATACTGTGGAATGTAAAACAAAAAGATAAGAAGATGGAAAATAAGAAAGAAAATGTTTAGAGACATAAGGGATACACTTAGAGGTCCAATGTGTCTCTAATTAAGAGTTCCAGGAACAGAGAAGAGAGACCGTGGAAGGAAAAAATAATTAAAGAACAGTATAAGAGAATCTTCTAAGACAAAAGATAGACAATTTTCACTTAAGTCTCACTAAGAATACCTGTGAAATTTCAGAACATCAATAATAAAGAGAAAACCCCCAAAACTTCCAGAGTTAAAAAACAAACAAAAATCACCAAAAAACTAAAGTTTGTGTTTTAGACACAAACAACAAAAGAAAACCAAAACAGGCTGCTTACAAAGGAGTAAATATAAGAACATCAGAAATTCTGGCTGAGAGTCTGAGTGTACCAGAAAATGTGGCTATGAATATGCAAGAAACCATGTATGTGGGCATTGAGGTTCATTCAGTCTGAGCAGAGATTTTTTTTTTTTTTTTTAAGTAATCTCTATCCCCATGGTGGGGCTTGAACTCATGACGCCAAGATCAAGAGCTGCAGCAGACTCCACTGACTGAGCCAGCCAGGAGCCCCCTGAGCAGAGATTTCTGTACTCCTCTCATACTGGCTCCACCACATTCCAAAGAGCCAGCAGCTAACTGATGATTAACAGTGAGAGCAAAAGAAACAAACTGCTGGCAGAGAAGAACTTAAGACATTTACCATCCATGCATTCCATATGAAAAAATTACTCCAGGCAGTATTCCAGAAAAATGGAGGGAAAAAAGGTATGAAAAAACAAAGATGAGATTTAAGAACAAGATGATGTTAAAGCACAGAGAAAGCAAACTTGAAGAAAAAATTTAAAAAGAACCCACAGGAACTTGAACCTTGCAGGCCTTCTTTTGAGTCACAGAGATTTAGTGGCACATGATTACAATTCCCATTTTTTAGCAACTCTATTTAGTTTCATAATGAATCATATTTACAACATCAAAATACTGTAAATGCCGTTATTTTGTGAAGTTTGACACTTTGAAATCATTAGTTTGCCAAGAGAAAGTATGTATATATTTATTTCTCAGTTTCCCTAGAATTATTAATATTTAAAGAATTTTTTAAGACATTCTAATCTTCAGAGAGGTATAATTATGATGACAATGATGATAATAAAGATGTTCTAAGAAATATTTTCACTGCAAATTGCAGTAGTACTTCGTGGGGGAAAAAAGGGCCAGATTTATATAAAAGTGTACCTTACCTCAGGCCCACAAAGGAGAAGGAAAGAAGGATACATCATTTCTCTCCTTAAGAAATGCAGGTGCCAAGTTCAGTATACCCGTGACAATCTCTTAAATTATTCTACCTTATCCGTGAGCCTCCACAGAGCAGTGAAAATGTTCTCATTTTCTTGCTCTCTCTTCCTTTACAATGTTAAATAACGTAGTTCTACAAAACTTGTCTTTTGTTTACAATATAAATATATCTACCAAAGATCACCTTAACAGAAGAGAAATAATTTCTGAAATTTGCTCCATTCGTTATTTATAAACATATGGAAAGACATAAATAACAATCCATTAAAGAACTACATCACTATTTCCATTCCTATATTTCAAGCCACTATTATCTGTTACCTGCACTATCTCAATACCCTCTTAACTGGATTGATAGCTTTTACTCTGGCTCATTCCCGTCGACACTCCATGCAGTGAGCAGAGTGATGATCTAAAATGTAAATCACATTGCCCCCATGCTCAAAAACCTTCCGAAAGCTTTCCATTATACTGGAAGTAAAATTTGCAGTGTATTGGGCTTGAAATGATCTAGGCCCTACTTTACCACTATTCTCTGTGCATACTCCTCTGGAGTTAAATTCTCACTGCAAAGCTCATTTCCACCTCAGGACCTTTGCAGTGTTCTCACTGCCTGGAAAGCTCTTTCTTCAGAGATTTACCTGGCCTTCTCCCTCATCTCAGAGAGGCCTTTCCTGACCCATCTAATATAAATTCCTCACTGCTTTTATTCTTTAACCTCTTACACTGATTTAGTTTTCTTGAAAGCAGCCAACACTTCTACATATTATGTATTTTACTTATTTACTTGTTAATTGCCTGTGTCCACTAAAATGTACGCTCCTAAGGGCAATGTCTTTTTATGGTTCCCTGACCACAGCCCACTCCCCACAATAGTGTCTGGCATGTAGTAGGAGTTTAATGAATACTTACTGAGTGAATGCTAAATACCTATTCATACTGCAGCCAAATAAAATATAAGTAGGAAAACAGAAGGAAAAAATAACCCTCCAAAAAAATGTTCCCTCTAATCACAGACATACATTTATAGGTCTGCAATATCACCTGAGTTTAATTATTTGTCAGTATGTCCTCCTTTGAAAGTGTGGTCATTGTTCATGACTAACTAAGCCTCACAAGCCTGTAATGCCTTTGCTAAAACAAGCCATTCATTCTCAAACTGCTGCAAGCCAAGCTGATCTATCCCATATCTGTTTCTATTTCCCAGAAGTCAATGTTTATGCTGTAATGCTTCAGTGAGTTTTCTCTGCATTGTGTCCAGTGGTTACAAACCAGTTCACTACACTGTAGTCTTTTAGATACCTACTATCATTCATTCTTCACTTATATTCAGCTCAGGAGAGTAACTACAATGCCTGTAGATGAATGTATAAGCCCTACAGATTTCAGGATTGGAATCTTATCATTTTATGTTTGAGATGACCAGGTGGTGGTACAAGGGGACCAGTTTCAAATTTTAGGATGAAATAAATTCTTGGGTAAGCTCCATCAGGGCAGGGACCATGTCTGTTTTGTTCATCAACTATACCCAGCTTCTACCACAGGGATTACTACAGAAAATCACTGCAAGAATAAATAATATTAACTAAACAAAAAAGATAAATTACCTCAAAGTTGGTGTGATACTACTAAAAAGGATATAGTAATTAGGGGGCACCTGGGTGGCTCAGTCGTTAAGTGTCTGCCTTCGGCTCAGGTCATGATCCTGGAGTCCCAGGATCGAGTCCCGCATCAGGCTCCCTGCTAAGCAGGGAGCCTGCTTCTCCCTCTGACCCTCCTCCCTCTCATCCTCTCTCTTTCTCTCTCACTCTCTCTCTCTCAAATAAATAAATTAAAAATCTTAAAAAAGAATATAGTAATTAGATGTCAAAAGCAGGAATGAGGTTAGAAATAAAAATAATGTGGCCAAGAAACTAAAACAAATCAATAAATTAAACAAACCATCCAAGGATATAATCAAGAAAGTAAACTATAAATGTTGGAAAATCCAAGACATTTTCTGAATTACTATCAAATACGGCATATAAACAAAAGTCAAAATGAGCCTTCTTACTAAAGCCATCTTTAACTCACAGGAGTGGAAATCTTCTTTGCCGTTTCTGTGATTACTTGTTCTAGAGGCTTCCAGATTTGAAATGCATAGCGACCTAAATAATAACAGGAATAAAAGCAAATATATTTTCTATAATCAAATACAATACCCACAAGGTACTAACCACAATATTTACTGATAGCTGCTTCTATATACGTTATTTCAAAAACCATTTCAAAATTTACCAGAAAGTCCTATTTTTTCAAATTTCTAATTTATTAAAGAGGAAGCATTTCATTTTAACATCATTAAAAGAGTTACTAAATTTATCAAGTTCTAATTCATGATTATAAAATTAGAAAATGTCAATGTTTATGTTTCTTACATTTATACAATATGCTAGGTAACAAAAAAATAATATCCTAGTACTCCTTCCACCACAAACTATAGATAAAGTTCTCTCACATATGTATATTCACATATCTGGTTATTTGTACTGGTTTTCTCAGTGATAATCACTTTGAAATATATGGAAAACAAAAACTACTTATGATCTGTACAACATAGGAATAATTTTAATGGAGTTACCTCTAAAGTAAAAAAGCAGTTATGTAAGAAATATTCACCAAAGATGTTTACTGTCAATTTCTCACTGAGGATGACTATTCTTCTAAAAACATATTTTATTTTGGTGTTTTCTTTTCTTAGGTATCCTACTAATTAAAACTCCTCTGAGTCTTCAATAGCAAAACAGGTTCCAAATTGTTTTGAGGGTATGGAACAAGAATAAAATATTATCTGGTCAATTTACCTTTTGTACCCTAATCAGCATATGTATCTACCAACTGTAGTGTCTTTCTTCCCGAAAAGTCTTGCTAGAAAACCCATTATGACACTCTGGACTTTATTCAATTTCCAGCCATAACCTTCTTCGCAAATGAAGATTTCCACTGGGGAAGTTCAATTACAAACATCTTTTAGAAAAAGTTACTATCTAAACATACTATTATTCCTGTGCAAACAACATGTGAAAGTGAAAAATAGGATGCTAGAAATGGAAAATGGGAAGTAGTCAATCCAAGTAGAAGATAAAAAATTCTTGAGATCAAGAACATTAAATAAAGGTAAATTAAATAAATTAAATAAGTGAAAGCCTAATTCATCCAAATCTCTTACCCTAGAGATGTCAACGTCCATTTGATTCTACAATGGTACAAAGTATAGCTTTTAAATTACCGCAAAATTCCTTTAAAAGCACATATAATCAGGCAGTCTCAATGAAAACAGCAAGCAAAGCCTTCAACAAGTGACATCTGGAGGTTTACTTGAATCATAAACCAGAAGACCTAGTTCCAACAAGTGTAAGTATACTTTCTCCTAAATTCTATTGTTCAGTTATATTTGGCTCTGGAAGAGATGTTCCTGCTATTTAATACTCTAGTTAGTAATAAGAACTTGGTGGGGCGCCTGGGTGGCTCAGTTGTTAAGCATCTGCCTTCGGCTCAGGTCATGGTCCCAGGGTCCTGAGATCGAGCCCCACATCCAGCCCCAGCCCCACATTGGGCTCCCTGCTCAGCGGGAAGCCTGCTTCTCCCTTTCCCACTCCTCCGGCTTGTGTGCTCTCTCTCTCTCACTGTCTGTCAAATAAATAAATAAAATCTTAAAAAAAAAAAGATAAGAACTTGGCAACAGCATAGTATATACACAACATGTACGCCAATTCTTCTCATTTGAGAAAGAAGAACCTGGCAAAAAACTACAGCATCTTTCTTTAATTTCAAATAAAAATCTTACGTTTGAATTTTAAAATAACTATGCCAATTATAGTTAATACTGTAACAGTTAACACTAAAATTGTTCCATGTTTATGGGCCAGTTTGTCAGAATTCCTTTGTGGACGTGATAGTCTTTTCATGAAACCTCAGTACAGTTATAATATCAAGATACAAGACCCTGATGGCACAAAGACCAAGAGAATCTGAACCACTGATCTTCTTGATTTTAAAGTGTTTATTGTTAAGGTGCTTTAAAAGAGAGTCGTGTGAAATTAAGTACCATACTTATAAAACAAAACAAAAAATTTTTATGTCTCATTTTTTTACTGGATTTTACTAACTCCATATAACCACAATGGAATGTAACTTCACTTAAAAGAGAAGATCCAAGAAACAAAATCAAACCCATGGAACTTGAGATACAAATGCTAAAACAAAAAATGTAAAGCTTTATCAACAAGGAGATGCTCTCAGATTAACATATGATTAGGAAATAGCTAGGTAATTTAAAACTATAAGTTAATGACTGGAAGAGAGCAATTTTGCTTTAAATTTTTATAACTATTCTTTGGTGATTTGGGCAGTAAAAGAAATTCTCCTGAGTTTATCAAAAAAATTACACCAATGTGTTAAAAATGAAGTAACTAATACATTGCAGGGAACAACTATGCTCATCAGAAAAAGCTACAGCTCAGGAAATGTGTAATCTAACCCTGCAAGAAAAAACATCCAACATGGTAGAATAAAGGAACCCCATATCACTTACATTGCTTCATATTAAAGAATTTTTTTAAAGTATACTATATAGCTCAAACTAAAAAAATGCCAGGAAGGTCAACTATTATTGGGGCTAGTTTTCCTAGCTTCATTCATTGTTTTTTGTTTTTTGCTTTTTTTTTTTTTAAGATTTTTATTTATTTATTTGACAGAGAGAGACACAACGAGAGAGGGAACACAGCTGGGGGAGTGGGAGAGGGAGAAGCAGGCTTCCCGCCGAGCAGGGAGCCCTATGTGGGGCTCGATCCCAGGACCCTGGGACCATGACCTGAGCCGAAGGCAGACGCTTAACAATTGAGCCACCCAGGTGCCCCAGTAGCTTCATACATTGTTAATTTTCTTCACTACACAGTTCATCTAGTTTTTGCTACATTGACAAATGTTCAGTGACTATAAATGGGAGGAAAAAAATGAAAATGTATGTCTTAAAACCCAAACCTCAGAATACGGAGGGTCTCCTCATGAATCACTATAGAAACTATTTGAAAATATTTCTTCTGCAACATTTATCCTTTATTTATCTTACCTGCAAATGCAAGAGCTGCAACACCCAGTCCTACAGCTATCAAACTTCTTGCCTATGAAGGAAAAAATGATTATCACTTACACAGTCTTACACACTAGCTTTTTTAAAGTAAGCCATTTTAAATAATGAAAATAATTACGTTAAATACATTTCCCTCAAGCTCTGCTGTGAAGGATAGAATTTTTTTTTAATCTGCAGTGTCTATGGGATTCTACCTATTGCATACTATATCAGCTAATTTTCAGTAAACCAAAATTATTCTAGGTATCATTTAATTTCCATATATTTGAATTCATTCTACCCAAGAGCTTGTATGTTACCTATTACTAAAATTTTTTGAGATTTTATTTATTTTTTGGGGGGGGGTGCGGGAACAGAGGGAGAGTGACAAGTAGACTCCACACTGAGTGCGGAACCCAACATGGGACCTGATCCCACGACCCCAAGATCATGACCTGAGCAGAAACCAAGAGTAGGATGCTCAACTGACTGAGCCACCCAGGCGCCCCTGTAAATTATTCTTAATAGTGGGTTAAATATACTATCTTCTACAAAGATAAAAAGCACATATTCCCTTTATATTTACAATGCTCAATGGCATTTGCTATATTTAAAATTTTGATAAAACATTAGATCTATGTTTAGTAAAGAAGTCAAACTGCCAAAAATTAGTAAAAATTATGAATAATTTAAAAGTTAATTTACTTCTACCTCTCTAGACCAATGTAAAAATTTTTTAAGTAAGAGCCAAGAATTCAGAATCTAAAATTATGAGCTCATTATGATAAAAATCTATTTTAAATTGGTTATATACTCCATATTATTCTATGCTTTTCTCCTTTACCATTTCAGAAAAATATTTAAATCATAACAGAAAAGGTTTATGTAGCAGAGATCAATGGTTTCCCCCCAACATCTATTCTCCCTTTCTTCTCTAGGATCAAGAGTTCCTATTTTTAACCAGACATATTTCCAAGCCTCCCTTAGACTATGGCTATGTTAACTAAGTGTTGGCTTTTAAGATAATAAGCAGGGTGGTGGTATGTGCAACTTCTGAGAAGTCCTTCAGGGATGAAGGAAATGTCCTTCTCCTTTTCCATTCCTGCTTGCTGGAAATGTAGACATTCTACCTAGAACAGCCATTTTGGATAAAGAAGGAAAAACAATGGGGTGAAAGGAGACTGTGTCCTTAATGACCATGGAGCTGCCATAGCACCCCTGGACTGCCTTTATTTATATGAGATAAAAATAGAATTCTATCTTCATAAGCCACTATAATTTCCAGGCACTTGTAACCAAATCAAATTTTGATGGATACAGAAATTAAGAAGAGACATCACAGAAATGTTTTTGTCTGATTAGTGGTGAGAGAGGTAAATCCACTAGACTCAGGAAAGACCATTAAAAAAAAAATCTAGAATAATCTCAGTAGGAAACAGAATGGATTCATTTCACATTGGTGCAGAAGTAGTTAGATGGAGGCTGAGACTAGAGGGATGATAGAACCAAAAAGCCCTACAGACATCAGTCTACAAGTTCTGTAAAAGAATACAAGTCTTAGGAAATCAAAGCCCCAAATCTTCAAGGGAAGACTCTATCATGAGAAAAACCAGGAAACAAAGAGCACCTGTATGAGGTGCTTTAACTTTAATATACAGTTAGCTTTCTCTTAGAAATCTAGAGCTGTTCATGGACAAGATGAAGTTTATCTATAGTTCTCAGTTCTAGTTCTAAGATATACCTTTTCACCAGGCAGTAACACTGGTGCACTTTAGGAAAGAAGATTCTTTCCCTGGCAGAGGAGAGGAAGCCTAGAGCTACCTATCCAGAGAGGCAAAACAGTTTCCCAAGTTCCTTTCAGGTCGTCTAGACAGGTTGTCCTGAACAGAAGGGAAGTGAGTACTGATTTAAAATAAGATATTCTGTTGAAGTATTTTTTTTGCCATTTTCTAGAGCTTCCCTGAGGCTATGTAGTTTGAAATTTCCAGTCTTATCTTCCACTGGTTCACTTTAATGAACCTCAGTCCAAACAAACTACTCAACTGTTTCATGTGTGCATTTATTTCCCTTCCTTATAACCTTGTTTATTCTTCCATCTGACTAGAAATATTTGCCTTTGCCTACCCAGATAGTTGTTCTTAACTCTTCAGCCTAAATCTGCCACAGAACGGGAGAAGTCATTAGCAACACGTAACAGACAATGAGCACATATCCAAAGACACATATAGAAGTCCCTCACATCAACAATAAGAAGAGGGACAATTCAATAGAAAAATGGGCAATGGGGTGCCTGGGTGGCTCAGTCATCAAGCGTCTGCCTTCGGCTCGGGTCATGATCCCAGGGTCCTGGGATCCAGCCCCACATTGGGCTCCCTGCTCAGCAGGAAGCCTGCTTCTCCCTCTCTCACTCCCCCTGCTTGTATTCCCTCTCTCTCTCTCTCTCTCTAATAAATAAATAAAATCTTTAAAAAAGAAAGAAAGAAAGAAAAATGGGCAAAAGGTCACGGGCTTCATAGAAAAAAATCTAAATGGTTAAAACACATAACAAGTACTCAACGAAAAGAGTAACTAGGGGATACTAACAACAACAACAAAATGGTGCAGAAATATTAATACCAGCATATAAAGATCACTAGCCTTTGTGGAACTTGTTCTGTCCATTGAGGCATCCCAAGCACCAAGCAATCGTATCTGTACTTCCTAGGGTTATTGTGAGGATAAAATATAATAATGTATATAAAAGACTCAATATAGTGGCTTGGCACATAGTGAACAGTCAGTAAATGTGAACTGCTTTTAATATTATCAATAAAAATAACTAGCCATTATTGAATATAAGGTATGACAGAAGTATGAACGGTGTTCTGTAAACCCTGAAATTTGTCTAAAGGAAGATTCATAGAAGTAATTTTTGAGGTAGGCCCTAGAAAATGAATTGGTCTTCTCTAGATTAAATAATCCAAATTTTCACATTTCGAAAAATGCATATTTAAAAAATATAAAGTCTTGAAAAATTGAGTTAGTCTATATAAAATTTCACATTTTTATAGAGTAATAATTATTGTCATTTTACTACTTCAACTACTCAAAAGACAAATAGCTGCCTCTACAATTCCAAAGAGATTTTAATTTAAAGGTATTTATATCAGAAACATTAAAGCATTAGGCATTTGATCATTTTTCACTTTAATACATAAACCTAAACTATGTTTAACAATAAAAATTCAATTTAATTCAACAAATAAGTATTAAGCACTCTGCTGATTATTCTCCATTTGTCCCTCCAGATTCATTCTTCACCTTTAGGACTTGCTCTGTGCTTCTGCCTTCCCTTATCTCTAAACACCACATTATCCAAGTCCTCACTTGCCCTTTAGTTTCTGGGCGGATTTTGCCAAGGAGAGGAAGTGTCAAAAAGAACACCAAGCATAGGTTACCAATCACAGGTGAGGACTCCAGACACATCTGCCTGTTGCATCTTCGTATCAAAGTTGCGAAGGAAAACACTGTAAAAGTCAAGCACTGGATAATGCTTTACTCACATTAGAGAAGATAAAGATCAGTTCCAGTTGTATGCGTCAGTCCCTTATGGCTAGTGGGTGCCCCCAGCAGCTAGCTGACTAACGGAAATGGAGCTACAAGCACCCACCCCGCTGGTGGTGCAATAGGACCTTCCCCCTCTCTACCCCACACTGTCCCTGGAGTCTGAAATACTGAAATATCTGAGGGCACATGTGAGAGCCATTGACTATGCTTAAGCAGAACAAAGAAACACCCAATAAGCATGAAACCAGGAAAGATAATGCCACAAAGGCGGTAAACCCAGCACAGGCTATGTGAGCTCCTCTTCTCTTGGTAGGGAAGTATTCTGAGCCCAAGCCCCACTTTTATATGGCCAAGTGGGATTGAAATACTGTGCATAAGAGACAGTCCTTCCCAACAGGAAGCATCAGCAGAAAAGCAAAAGGTGTAAAGAGATAGAAGTAATGGTACAATTTACTCCCTGCTATGTTTCCTCTTTGGCCACAGCTCCTGTTAAAGGGCTCCTCTTCCATGCCTACAACTGTTACTGGGTTCTGGAACATAACTCCCATCCTCTTGCCCGTTTCCCTGGGTGGATAAATTTCCAACCATTGCCAGGCCCTGGGTGATTCACCATTCATTTCTGGTTACCTTAAAGCATGCCCACCTCTGCCAATAATCCCTTCATTAAACTATCTTCAAAAAAAACCCACCCATTACTACCTGACCCTCACTAATACAAACATTACATACACCAGTCACTATACTATGCACAGGGCAAAGGCCTATATCAAATGAGTCCTATGTAGGACACTGAACATGGTGGGCCTCCAATGTTTACATTAATCTCCCAAAGACCTTTATTTTTATCCTTATTACAACATTTATTACACTAATTTATAGTTAAATGTGTTTCCTTTAGCTTTCCTAGATACCAAGTGTCTTTTAAAAAACCTAATGAAATCAGGGTGCCTGGGTGGCTCAGTCGTTAAGCCTCTGCCTTCTGCTTGGGTCATGATCCCAGAGTCCTGGGATCGAGCCCCACGTCAGGTTCCCCGCTCGGTGGGAAGCCTGCTTCTCCCTCTCCCACTCCCCCTGCTTATGTTCCTGCTCTCGCTGTCTCTCTCTGTCAAATAAATAAATAAAATCTTAAAAAAAAATCTAGGGGCGCCTGGGTGGCTCAGTCGGTTAAGCGTCTGCCTTCGGCTCGGGTCATGATCCCAGGGTCCTGGGATTGAGCCCCGCATCGGGCTTCCTGCTCAGTGGGGAACCTGCTTCTCCCTCTCCCACTCCCCCTGCTTGTGTTCCCTCTCTCGCTGTCTCTCTCTCTCTCTCTGTCAAATAAATAAATCTTAAAAAAAAAAAAATCTAATGAAATCTATGGATCTCCCCAGAAAACCATAAATATATACACACAGCAAAATTTTTATATAGTTTGAAGGGATCCAAGGGTTTCTCTGAAGCCCTTCAGTTTACAAGTCCCAACATGAGAATCTCTGTAAAAAAATAAAGAAGCTCACTAAACTAAAA